ACTATTTTGTTATTTCTCTTATTTTGTAATGTTAATTAACTAACGAAAAATATTAAAATGAGGTTCTAAAATGCAAGTATGCTATTTTTTTGTATTTTTTATGAGTTGTATCAATTAAAAATGCACAGAAATGCACATAATCACAAAATCATACAATTAATTCCCTAAAATTCAAATAATAAAAGAAAAATCCTAATTTTAATGAATTTTATAGGAATATTTGAGCGAGGCAAAAATCACGTACTCACAGGGGTTGTGTAGAAAGGGATATGATGACTACGCGTTAATGTCACGTGTAGCCCCTCATTGAGGAGTGTTTACCGGGCATTGCGTGGGGTGATCCTGTAGGCTAACCAACCTAGGACCCCTCCTTCCCAAATTCCCTGCTTAAACTTTACTTCTATATGTACACAATTTGTTCAAGTCTTTCCTTTATTTGAGTCATATAATGTCCTAACCTGCCCTCATTTTCAAATATGCGTCTAAATTGTCTTTTGTTAAAAGGACTGATTCGTAAGTATAAGTTCGGCCGGGACCCACCGTTGTGGACCAAGAGGGGTGCCTAACACCTTCCCCTCAAGGTTATTTCGAGCCCTTACCCTAAATCTCTGGTAATGAAAACCAATCTAAGAGTTAATCACTCTAGGTGCCCTATCGCACCATAATTCGTTAGGTGGCGACTCTTCAAAATCCAAATTCCCAAAAGAAAACAAGTTATTACCCCCCATGAATGTCGAAACCCGGACTTCCCCGTCAAAAGGGAGGAAAAAGGGGGCGCAACATATAGAATATAATTTTTTAAAATAGTATTTATTTAAAATAAATAAGGTGTTAACCTTTGCTATAGGAGGTAAAAATTCCAATATAAATCTTCAAGTTCGTTTGATATCTAGCTCGCACTAGGGCTCAATGCATAGACTGTTCACACTTCTCATTCTTAATTCTATTGGTGGTCCAATGAACGAGATATAATAAAAATAAATAAGTATAAGGCATAGCAGCTAAAAGCAACAAAACAGATATATGTGCATAACACGATCCTCAACAGAAGAATAAATATGAAGTCCTCAATAACCGAATACTACCTCAAATGGAATACATAAAGATCAACACCAGATAAAACGTCTGTTCAGATTATTTAACAGATAGCCACTTTGTAGTTACTTTACATTTACATAGGCTATTCTTTGTATAGGCCATTTTTGTAATTAGTTAGGCTATCATTGTAATAAGTAGTGAGTATAGTTAGTGGAGTTAGTTGTGTATATACATAAGACATTGTACATATATTTTGATGTAAGACGAAAATTATTTTTCTCTCCTCCATCTGTTTCTCGAAGCTTCTTTCTTCTTCACCCATTAGAGATCAATCTGAGCTTGCCGCCATTGCTGAGCTTCTGCATTTTGTTGTGGTATCAGAGCATAGGCTCCGATTTGTTTCGTAATCACTCGATTCAGTCGATTTCTGTCAAAGCTTCACTCAGTTTCCTCTCGTTTTCTCCTCTTTGAGAATTTTTGATTCGCTACAATTAGGGCAAAATTACAGAAGGTAAATTTCTGTTAATCCCTGATTGCTATCTGATAGTGAGACGATTTCTACATCTCTGAATCATGTCAACGGATGAGGAAGCGCTAGATTCATCTAGCCCGATGTACATGCATCCGTCAGAGAACGCCGGAATGATGCTGGTACCGGCGGCTTTCGACGACATTGGTTATAGATCCTGGAGAAGAGGAGTACTTAAGGCATTATCTATGAAGAACAAGGTCGGTTTTATCACTGGAAAGGTTAAGAAGCCAGATCCAACTCATGCCACATTCGATCAATGGGAACGATGTGACGACATGGTCACCTCCTAGATTCTCAACTCACTTTCAAAATATTTAGCTGACAGTTTGTAGTATGTCAAAGATGCGAAGGACTTATGGCAGGAATTAGAAGATAGATATGACCAAACTAACGGTGCCAAATTATATCAGCTTCAGAAGGAAATTAGTGATCTAAGTCAAGGAACTCTTGACATCACCGGGTACTATACCAAAATGAAAAATCTTTGGGAAGAACTTAACACCTTGAATGCACATGTCCAGTGCAATTGCACTTGCACTTGTGGAGCTAAGGCTAACATGCACAAAGCGGAACATGATAGAAGGTTAATTCAGTTTTTAATGGGATTAAATAAGGTGTACACTGTGGTGAGAGGTAGTATTTTGATGATGAATCCACTACCTAGTATTGCACAAGCATTTTCCATACTAATTCAAGAGGAGAAACAGAGGAAAGTTAAACCACACAGTCAGTTTGTGATGGAATCTGCATCTCTTAATGCAAGTACAGGAAATAACAATTTTAGGACCAATTACAACACAAGTGGATACAATACTAGAAATGCTGGAAACAATGCGAATAGAGGAGGATACAATTCGAACAAACCTCGCCTGTTTTGCGACTACTGCAAGAAGCCAGGGCATAGTAAGGATAAGTGTTTCAAACTCCGTGGGTATCCTCAGAATTCAAGGTACCCAAGCTATGGTAACAACAATAAAGGGAAGAGAATTGCATCAAATGTATTTCGAGCACCAAATGATGGATCTAATGCTTCAGAAGTCGAAGGAGATCATCATGAAGAGGGAAGAATTATGCATCACTTGACTCAAGAGCAATATGGAAAACTTTTCAACAATCTGGAAAAGCTTCAAGTAGCAAACACAAGGGAGAAATCTGGAGACATGAAGCTGACTGGAGGAGCTGTGAACTTTGCAGGTACAGTTGCTTGTTCTTCTTCTATTGAGCATGGTAATCAATTGCGTGAATGTTTTGATTAAAATGTTGATCAGTGGATCCTCGATTCCAGGGCCACAAATCATATGACATTCAATAAGAAATTACTAAGCAATATCAAGACCTTAGTCTACCCCTACTTAGTTTCCCTACCCAATGGATACAAAGTGAAGGTGCCACTTATTGGTGATGTGATCCTTAGTCCAAAATTCATTCTGAAAAAAGTACTTTATGTGCCCAGCTTCAAATTTAACTTGATCTCTGTTCATTCCCTAACTGTGCAATTAGATTGCATTGTTGTATTTACAAAATTCTCCTGTCTTCTTCTACAGGGCCCTTCACTGAAGAGGCCACTGGAGATTGGTGAAGTGAGGGACAACCTTTACTTTCATTGTACAAACTCGTGCAAAAGTAAGTCAATTTTACATGCTGCACTTGACACTACTGCTTTGATACACACCTCACACACAGCACCTTGTGCATCCACTTCCGCACACAATAGAAATAAAGTGCAGTCTACTAAAGACTAGATCAAACAATAATAATGAATGTCCTGTTTCAAATGTTTCTTCTTGTCCTTCCTTTGATGCTCATGAATCTTGTAATTCTGATCCTGTTCCTAATACATCTACTTATGAGAAATGCAATATAGACATCTTGTAGTATAATAGACTAGGCCATGTGCCTTTTGTCAAAATGAGAGACATCTCAGCTATCCCAACTACCTTTACACAAAAACAACCATTCTTCTGCCCTGTCCGTCCAATGGCCAGGCAGAGTAGATCCCTTTTCCCACAAAGTACCAAAAAAACACTTAAAATCTTTGAACTGTTACATGTGGATCTCTGGGGTCCCTATCACATTCAAACCTATGATGGATACAAATATTTCATCACTCTTGTAGATGATTACAGTAGGTCCACATGGACACATCTTCTCACTTGCAAGATCAATGCTCTACACATTATCAAAGCATTTGTTGCTATGGTAGAAAATCAATTCCAAACTACCATCAAAACAGTTAGGACAAACAATGGTCTGGAGTTTGTCCATGCTGCCAGCACCATGTTTTCCAAAGTAAAGGAATCATACATCAAAAGACTTGCCCTCATACTCCCCAACAAAATGGGATAGTAGAGAGAAAATACAAATATCTCCTTGAAACAACCAGAGCTTTGCTATACCAGTCCAAGGTATCCTTGCAATACTGGGGAGAATGCATACTTACCTCTACCTACCTAATAAATAGATTGCCATCATCCTCTATCAAAAAGAAGTGTCCATGTGAACTACTCTACCAGAAAACTTTATTCACATCTTAGGAGTTTTGGTTGCCTTTGCTTCCCAACCACTCTCAAAACACACAAGGACAAATTTGAACCTAGAGCCACTCCACATGCTTCCTAGGATACCCCTTTGGGACAAAAGGCTACAAGGTGTTAAATCTTGCCACAAAAAGGATACACATTTCAAAAGATGTATTATTTCATGAAAATATCTTTCCATTTAGTCTAAAATCAAGTTCTAATGATCTGTTTCCTAATCTTGGTAGTCCTTCTTTTCCATTACGTCAAATGCATTTGAATGTAGAAAATTCATGTACCAATTGATTCCAGCACAAATGATATTGTTACATCTCGCACTACATCATCCCACAATCACAATTTGGTGTCACCAACACTTGGATCTGAAATTCAAATTTCAGCCTGTGGAATACTTTTAGGGGGGAAGTTCTTAGATGCTGAAACTTTGGAAATTTTTCAGAGAGTTCCAAACTTGTTAATCAAGGCACTAGGGCTGCCTTTTATAGGCAAAGAAAGGGGGCAGAATGTTCTGAAAGTTTTTTACTAATTTTCCCCCCTTTTTGTTTTCAAAAATTATATTTTAATCCCTAATTTTATGGCTTGTTTCTCAAGTTACTGCTTTTAAAAAGCTGAAACTTACACTAAGACCCCTTCTAGAAGGATCTAGGGTGTTCTAGCTTTGTTTTCCTACCTGTGGAATGCCTATACTACCCTTACTTGAGTTCTAAAATTACCATGTCTTAACAAACCAGCCCATTTTAGATGCCTAAACTACCCTTGATTGCCCCTGAAATTACTAACCTCGTACAACTATAACCAAACAGTTTCCTAACTATGATTAACCAACTAAAGCTAGAATCAATAGTTCACAATCAAAACAGACCCTAAAACAAACTTAACTGGACAAATTGCCTGATTATGAAATTACATCCAATACTGGACTACAAAAAATCTAATTAAACCTAATTTATGAATTGAATTAATCCTAATAAAAAACGTGTCCTAAAATTGTTATTATTAAACTAAAGAGCACTAAACTAACAATCAAGGCAGATAATTCAAGATGATATAACAACTATAATGAATATGAAATCAAAATATCATAGTAGGAACAAAATTTAAAAACCTAATTATAACCAGAATCTTAGATCAAACAAAAATAAGAACCAGAATGCCAAAAATAAACAAAAATAGAACAACAAAAAATAAAAATCTAAAACAAAGAGAAAACAGAAGAAAAAATAAAAGAAAGATGAAATACCTCTGGACTTGGATTCAGACTCGACTCTGGTAGATTTCTTGGCCTTATTTGGGTTAAAACCGTCCTTAATCATGTGTTTTCGTAAGAAAACACATGATTAAGGGCTATTATAGCCCAAAATCAAAAAAGCCTCCAACATATAGCAATTAGGGTTCGGGATCATTCTTCGATCTGAAATTCGAGGGGATCGGGTGATATTTGAGGGTTATAAACTATGGATTCATGAAGAAGGAGATGAGGAGGATATATGGTGTAAGTTTGGGTTGGTTTGGGTGACGGCGCCGCCGTGCACGGTGGTGGCAACGTCACTGTTTTTGATATTCGAAAGGCTAGGCTAAGAATTGAAGGAAATTATTTTGGGGGTTGGAAAGAGGAGGGGAAGAAGGTTTAGGGGCGTAAATTTGGGCGCCATTGGAGACCGGCCGCCGCCGTGAGGCGATTTCCGGCGGCGGTT